TTCTTCTTCTTCTTCAGGATCCTATCTCTGCAATGAAAACCACCAAGACCAAAAGCTTTCTTCTTCTGTGATTTTTGTCACATACGATCAAAACATTTTGGGATAGATAGCCGATACCTTTCTTCTTTACATACCTCATTTAACATAACAATGATTGTTTGGATGTATTACCTCGAGCAGATGTGCAATTTCATGAATCAAAGGGATTTGATGTATCACAACCTCATTGATACATATAACTCCCTCCTTCCTGTTGATTTAATCTCACAGGTTCTTCAAAACCCTAGAATTTGGAGGTATGCTCTTCAAAACAATATTGATTTCTWTTTCAATTTTGATTTTTGCAACCAGATGAGATTTTAACTTCCTTTCACTTCTTTTTGGTTTAGCCGATTGATGAAGCAAGGCTATTTACAACTTTAAGGTAAGAATCCTCAAGAATCCTCTTTTATTGGTAATTTTGCTTAGTATGCGATTGATTGATAATCTTTTCATATAGTTGGTCATGTGAGAAAAACACATTCTGTCATATTCCCATTTGCAAGGCCACATTTACATACATACTTGTTAGGATCATAAATCATACTTACACACACACACACACAAGGTCATGTGAGAAAAACAAAACACAAACACACACACACACACACATACCATAATTCTTCTTTTTTGTAACTGTGTTCACCATGTTTGAATGTCAATCACTGTCCAAAGGAATAATACAGTAGCTAGAATGAATAATACATCAATGTATGTGGCTTTAGAATCTATGTCATATGTATTTGTGAAGTTTGGATATAAACTGCTGCCCTCCTCATTTTGTTTTTGATTTCATCTAATAGACACACACACACACACATATGGCCACTCATTTTGTTTTTGATTTCATCTAATAGACACACACACACACATATGGCCACTCATTTTGTTTTTGATTTCATTTTGTTGTTGTGTGCACAGTGTGTGTGTTTAGATACAGCAACTGTTACATGTTCATGTAATAATACTCTAACATGGTGAGATATTCTAATCATACCGTCTCTGTTGTGCCTGCTGTGATCAAGTGATGAAGACACTGTTGTTCATAAGATTTTAGGCCATGTTTGGCTTGTTATAAGCTTGATCTTAGCAGTCACAACCCAAAATTACCTGTTTGGAAATCAAAATGTGCATATGAATAACATATAACCCTTCACTTTTGTCCTGCTGTTTTGTTTCGACTATTTTGTGCACCTTTTGCCAAAGCACCTTCTGGTTCAATAACCAAACCTGGAACTGTTTGGGACTGCATTCTGGTTATGGACTTACAAACCAGATAGCCAAGTCCATCTAAATCCATCTAATCTGGAAGATTGAACTGGAATCATATTCTGTATAGATTCTAAAACACAACATCAAACACAACTAATCATGGCTGCTAATGATGTTACCTGGTATGATTAGAAGCACAACTAATGTACAATATCAGATCTAAAAATATGCCTTCTCTTTTTAAATTTTATATTTGTAGCATATGTGAATATCTCTATACCAATGTGACTGGTGAGAATACATGGTTTCACATCTATAACATGCTAAAACATTAACTCGTATTTGTATGTGACTGGTGAGAATACATGCCTCTCTAATTCCTTCCTCATGACACATTGCTTTATCTCAGTTACGCTTGAGCACTCCTCTAAATAATCTGGGTACTTTAAGGAGTTAAAGACATTGAATGTGACTTTTTGGTCTTGAATCCTCATAGTTAGTTCTCCTTTTTGGACATCAATCAAAGTTCCGCTGGTACCTAAGAATGGTCTTCCTAAAATGATAGGAATATCTTTATCAGCCTCAAAATCTAGAATGATGAAATCATCCAGAAATATGAACTTATTAACTTGAACTAGGACATCCTCAATCTTCCCTTTGGGATAAGAAATGGTTCTGTTGGCTAATTGCAGTGTGCAAGTGGTGGGTCTAGCCTCTCCTATGCCTAAGGTGTTGAAAATACACAAGGGCATTAGGTTAATACTAGCAACTAAATCACATAAAGCCTTTCCAATCTTCTTTCCACCTATAGAACAGGGAATAGTGAAACTTCCCGTGTCTTTAAGCTTAGAAGGTATCTTGTTGGTCAAAAGTGCACTACATTCTTCGGTAAGAGCTATAGTTTCATGTTCAGTTAACTTCTTCTTCTTACTTAGGATGTCTTTGAGGAACTTAGCATAACAAGGCATTTTCTCGATTGCCTCAACAAAGGGTATGTTGATGTGAAACTCTTAGAACACATCTAACAATTTCTTAAAATGCAACTCTTCTTTCTGATTCCTTAACCTTTGAGGGTAAGGTACATAAGAAGGAACTGGTTTTATCACATTCTTGCTTGAATGTGTTCAGCAAGATGGATCTTGTTTGCTTTGGGTCTTTGTTGTACACTCTTGTGGTACAGAAGGAATTTCAACATTCATCTTAGGCGTATCTACAACTTTACTCCCTTCTGACTTTTTTCTAATGAATTATTTAGAAAACATTAAGGGGTAGTGTAATCTTGCAGGTATAGAAATGGTGGCCTTAGATGTTTGCTTCTCTAAAGCTTTGGCTGGTTTTTCCTTGACAGGGACCAATGTTGTGGCATCAGTTTTTGACAATATTGGTTCCCTATCTTTTTGCACTATTGGTTCCCTATCTTTTTGCACTATCTCTGTTAATTCCTTCCCACTCCTAATTGTTACTACCTTCACATGTTCCTTTCCTAGATCTCTAGGGACTTCTGTATTACTGGGTAAGGTAATAAGGGCTCTATTGGTTTGATTGAGTGCAAGTTGACTGACTTGCGTTTCCAGATTCCTGATAGCGGCACTTTGCTGATTAATGAGTGTTTGGGTTTGGTTTAAGAACCATTTCATCATAGTCTCCAAAAAAGATAATGAATCTGTTTGTGGAGGTGTCTTGTTTTGAAAAGACTATTGAGCAGTTTGAAAAATTTGTTGATGATTTTGAGAGTTAGAGCTGCTTACATGATGTTGTGGTTGGATTATATGTTCCTTGCTGTTTATGAATGAGTGGATTCAAACTGGGACTGTTCCAAGAAAAATTTGGGTTTTGTCTCCAACTGGCATTGCCTGTGTTGGAATAAGGATTTGATCTATTATGAACATAATTGACAGATTCAGAATTAGGAGGACAATGTTCCTAAGAATGTTTCCCTCCACAACAAACACGCTACACTGAGAGGACTGCTGGAACAGGTGTAGTAACAGTTGGCTGCATTCCTTGGCCAGATTTTAGATTTTTAAGCATGTTGGCCATGGAAGTGAGTTATGCTATTAATGCAATGTACACATCTACATCATGAATTCCATCAGTCTTCTTTTGTGGTTGGGCAAGTGGATCAACCCAATATCCATTGTTTTCTGAAATCTTTTCAAGAATTTCATGCCCCTCATTGTAGGTACTAGTTGTAAAGGCCCCATTTGCAGTCGCATCGAGCATCTGTTTAGCCATGGGACTTAACCTGTTGTATAATATCTCAAGTTGAATGTAGTAAGGATTGCTATGGTGAAGGCATTCCTTAACAACTCTTTAAACCTCTCTCATGCATCAGGAACAGCTTCATCGTCCATTTATTTAAAAAGATAGATTTCATTTCTGGACTAAGTGTTCCTGGTGGGTGGAAAATATTTTCGCAAAAAATTTTAAGCCATGTTACTCCATGATGGCAAACCTGATGGTAATGAATTAAACTATGATTTTGCTCGATCTCTTAAAGAAAATGGAAACAAAGTAAGTCTTAGAGCGTCGTTAGGAACTGCAGGGATCAAAAAGGAATCAGTGATTTCTATGAAAGATTTTAAATGTGAGTAAGGATCTTCCAATGGTAATCCAACAAATTGTCCAATCATTTGCAACATATGGAACATGATCGGCTTAAGCTCAAAATGGAAGATAGTCATATGAGGTCTAATTATCCCTGAGTTCAATTGCTCAAAATCGGGAATAACATAGTCTATGATTCTTCCAATTTTAGAGTTCGCAAGATTAACTATATTTGGAGTTTGAGCTCTTGGATGATCATTATTTTCAGATTCTGTGTCATTATGTGCATCATCATGATTTAGTGGTTCTTGTTAAAAAGGATATTCCGGTAGATTTCCAAAAAGGGATGGTGGATCTTCAAAAGGTGGTGGTGGCAACATGTTTTCAAGAAGTGCCGGAGGTAACGCCATATTGGGAGGGAGTAGAGCAAAAAATGCTTTTTGTGCGCTCCTTCTTTGGCAGAACGCTTTCTCAATATCTTGATCGAATTGGAGAAAATCCCCGCGGTGTATTCGTGGCATATACCGCTTCCAAGTGATTCAAATGGTGCTAAAAAATCAAATCTTTTATCTTACTTTTATAAAGAACTTTCATCTTGCTGATCCCCGACAGCGGTGCCAAAAACTTGCTAGGTTGTTTCACACGCCTTTTGACAAATGAAATGAACCACAAAGCAAGTATACAATATGGCCCAATATCGTCTTTTCAAGTAATAAAGTGGTAAAAATAAAAGTTTATTGTCCACGAAGATTGTAGCCAAAGTCTAATGAAAGAAATGATTTCAGATGATGAAATTTAAGACTTAGTTGTAAAATATATTTTGAGGGTATTCCTCTCGTACTTCCACCATTGCATTATATTATAGTTTTCAACCCATATCTCTTTGTGGTATCCAGACCAGGGATAGTGACGAATGATGTCTTCAAAATATATGGATAAACAAATCTCTTTGTTAAAAATCACTCTCTCGAGCCGACTCCCATATCATTTAAGTTGACGTGTGTTCTAGGTAGTTTATCTCTGAATCTACCGCACTTTAACAAGTGACCAACTTGTCGAGAATTAATTAGTTTGAAAGATATAAATGACAAGTCTCCTTGTCGGCAACTTTCTCAAGTCTACCTCTAATATCATTCAAGTTGACGTGTATTCAATGACTTATCTCTATGACCATGGTACTTTAACACTTTCAAAGTGGTCAACTTGTCAAGAAGTGTCATTGATTTTTATAAAACTTGAATGAAATAGTGGAACATCGTTATTGCAAAACAATGTCTACTTTCTGTCTGCTTATAAAATCTCACATTTTGTCTCGCACTCAAGTTATAAAATTAGCTACTCATAATGGAAAATAAAGAGATAAATATAAATTGCGGAAAGTAAATGATTTAATGTAATTAGCGAATGTAAATAACGAAAAGTAAAGAACAATCTTAAAAGTAATTAAGAAACTTAAATTTTTTCAAAGTTTAGAGAGAGAAATCAGTTTTAGGAACTGATTTTTGAATGATCAATACAAGAACCCACCTCCTATTTATATATTAAAATAGGGCACAAAAAGACAAAAGAATTAGCTTGGAGACAAAGCCATCAAAAGCTAACTTAAAAGTATAATTAAAGAAACTAGATGGTGACAAGTTTCTAACAAAAGTTTAACAATCTTTAATCACAAAAATTCTTCAGCTCCAAGGCTTCTAGAATCAAAAAGATCCAAGAGCTTATCCCATTAAGTCTTTTATAAAACCAAAAAGCATCAGGTCTCACCTACATGAATGTTGTAGTACCATACATTCCAACATTTTTTTGTATTAGACTACAAATGATGTAGAAACAAGTATATTTAACTTCATAATTAACAAAGGGGAACATAAAGTAATAAAATGACTCAAGATAAGGATAAAATGAAGAAAAAAAAAACAAACTAAATATTTATAAAATAAGTGGTTTATACATTGAATTCTCAATTTACATAAAATGAAAATAAACAAACTAAAAATTTATAAAATAAATGGTTTATACATTGAATTCTCAATTTACGTCAAATATATTCGGGAAGGGAAATGTTATGTTGTCCCAAAGGGAGGTTGAAGGTTTTAGACAATCCAAGAGAGAGAGAGAGAGAGAGATTTTGGTTGATCTATAAACGGTGATCGATCTACATCCTTGGAGAGATTTCATCTACAAGAAACTGAAGTTCATCTAAAGGGAGTGGGAACCAAGATTTGGACTTGGATGAATATGGTGGGGTAGGGGTTATGAAGGTATAAAATGTTACATTGTAAGTATGCATGTAACAACTTATAATTATAAACTTGAAATTTAAGTAATTGTGAATTAATAAGCAGTAAATTATGCTTAATAAATACCTGATTTTAATACGTTGTATCAATTGCTTTATAATAACGTTTAGATATTTTGGTGGTGTATATTGGTTGAAATTTGCTACAATGGTCGTACTTGTTCGTGAGGAAAAACTACCTAGAGTTTTTGCTTTCTCCCCCAAGCCAAGCTTTTGTACCTTACCAGTTGAATGTCGTGGCAAATCTTCTAAAATAACTGTATGAGGTACCATAAAATAATGTGGCATGTGATCTCGACAATGTTGAATAATATCTTGACCGTCGATATGGGCACCATCCTTCAACTTCACAAATGCACAGGGAGTTTCACCTCAATGATCGTCAGGACGAGCAACAACAGCAACCTCGAGAACGGCCTGATGGCTATAATTCACAGTTTCTATAGGAGGCCTTAATTTTAGGACTTATTCTTTGTCAATTACCTTTTATTTCTTTCCTTGTTTAGTCTTTTGATTGTCTATTTATTTTAGGCTCTCTTATTGTTTTGAAGCACAAAATCAATGAATTAATTTGATTACCTTTGACCATCCAAAATTAAGATGGTATCAGAGCGGTTGTAATCATCGATCACGTTCCCATCGTCAATCATGGCCGGAGGAGAAGACTCAAACAAAACCAAAGAAGGCTCTATTGATCCTTCATCATCATAATATCTCCACCCTTCCGATCTTCCCAAACAACTTCACGTAAATGAAGCTCTCACCGATGGGAATTATGCGAATTGGGCACAAGAGATGTCCAACTTCTTATACGCCAAAAACAAAATGGATTTCGTCGATGGAACCATTCGAAAACCAGAAACCACCTCCTCCGAGTACAAACCTTGGATGAGATGTGATGCAATGATAAAGGGTTGGCTTACTGCTGCCATGGAGAAGAACATTCGTGACAGCGTGAAGTATGCCATAACGTCCTCAGAGATATGGGCAGATCTACGAGAAAGGTTTGGGAAGGAGAGTGCTCCAAGGGCCTACGAACTGAAGCAAAAGAAATAAAAGGTAATTGACTACCACGAGACCTTCACCCCGGTTGCCAAACTAGTCACCGTTCGGATACTGTTGGCCGTGGCAGCAAAGAAGGATTGGATCATCGACTAGTTAGACGTTAACAATGCCTTCTTGCACGGTGATCTAGATGAGGAAGTTTACATGAAGATCCCTCAAGGGTTTTCAAAAGAAGGCGAAACTAGAGTGTGTCGTCTAAAAAAATCGTTGTACGGGCTCAAGCAGGCTTCCCGGAATTGGTACCACAAATTCACAAACTTCCTTATCACCCTACGGTTCAAACAATCTAAGGCTGACTATTCCTTGTTCACATATCAAAGGGAAGATATATATGTTGCCATTCTCATCTATGTGGATGATGTCATCATAGTTGGAAACGACACCAAAACAATTCAACAAATAAAGAGCCAACTTAACAACGAGTTCAGCATCAAAAATCTCGGTCAGCTTAAATATTTCCTTGGCATAGAGGTGGCAAAAACTCATGAAGGGTTGGTTCTAAGTCAAAGGAAATATACATTGGACATTCTCAAAGACAGTGGAATGCTAGGGTGTCGACCAAGTGCATTTCCTTTCGAACAAGGCACCAAACTCGACAAAGGCGAAGAGGAAGCTCGAGTCGATGCCACCATGTACCGACGACTGATAGGACGGTTACTGTACTTACAAGCTACTAGGCCCGATATCACATACGCGGTAAATGTATTAAGTCAATTTGTTGCGGACCCAAGACGAAACCACTCAGAAGCTGCAAATCGAGTCCTTCGCTACTTGAAAGGAACGACTGGGCAGGGTATTCTCCTTCCTCGCTACGGGCCTATAAGTTTGACCGCGTATTGTGACTCGGACTGGCTCGGGTGTCCATTCATGAGACGATCCAGAACGGGGTATCTGCTCCTTTTGGGAGGTGGGCCTATTTCCTGGAGAACAAAAAAACAATCCGTGGTGTCTCGATCGTCGGCAGAGGCAGAATATCGAGCAATGGCTTCCACTGTTAGTGAGGTTCTATGGGTCAGGTGGTTGCTCAAGGACTTGCAGGTCATCATTACTACTCCTACTTCTCTATTTTGTGATAACCAGGYTGCTCGTCACATTGCAAACAATCATGTCTATCATGAACGAACAAAGCATGTTGAAATGGATTGTTTCTTTGTTCGAGAACGAGTGGAAACCAAAGAGATCCTACCCGAAGCCATTGACAGCAAACTCCAACTTGCAGATTTACTCACAAAAGGTCTTGGAACACAACAGCTTCATTCTTTACATAGCAAGATGGGCATTAAAAACTTACATGCTCCATCTTGAGGGGGAATATAGGAGGCCTTAATTTTAGGACTTATTCTTTGTCAATTACCTTTTATTTCTTTCCTTGTTTAGCCTTTTGATTGTCTATTTATTTTAGGCTCTCTGATTGTTTTGAAGCACAAAATCAATGAATTAATTTGATTACCTTTGACCATCCAAAATTAAGAGTTT